CCCTAGGGATTTAAAAGAAGGTAGTTTTTGAGAGGGTTTTATAGAAGTTAAATAGGAATAGAATAGGATAGTTAAATAGCTAACCGTTTTAGTACTTAGTAAGATTAAGTGCCTTTCCTGCCTATATAACCAAATTATAGGTAATAGGACTAATAGATATTTCCTTCTTTAATATAGTATAATCGGGCCTTAGTAAGATCAAGTGTCTTTCCTGCTTATATAACCGAATTACAGGTAATAGAATTAATAGTTATTCCCTCTTTAACTAGAATAATGGCTTTGCCCCTAAGTAACTAAATCTTAGGCAAGTATAGCTTAATTCTTCCTGATTTATAAGTACTAACTAATTAGTATTAGTTTACTAGAAATGCATAGTACCGTTATATAGGCATAAAAGTACTATTTATATAAGGTTAGTAAAGTTATTCTTTAGAAGTAGGAATTATAGTATTGTAATATTAATATGTGATCCCTAAATCTGCTAAGCCTAAAGGGGTCTAGTCTACTAGTCGAGTCACTAATGAAATACAAGGTTACATAACCATGTCTCGTATCCCATATCCTATTACCCATATCCCATTACTCATTGCCCATGTCCCATTGCCTATTACCTATATCCCGTGTCCCTTGTCCCGTAACTACGCACGTGACTCCCAGAGGAACAGCTATACCAATACTAATAAAGCTAATAAAGCTAATATAACTAATTAAGAATCTAATAAAAAAGAAAAACAAGCTAAGCCTAAAACTTCTAATAAATAATATAGATCTAAATACTAGTCTAAATATAAGGCTAGTAATATACTAGAAAATAAAATAAAGAAAAATAAAAAATAAATACTAATTAGAAAGATTTCAAAAAGTATATCTAGAATTAAAAAAAATAAAATTAATAAAATTAGTAATATATTTAAATATTAGCTAAATAGAAGCTAATATTTAGTTATTAGAATAGCTATATTTTTAAAAAGTTATATAATTATTAATAAATTTCTTAAAGCTTTTTATAAAATATATCTTTAATAATTTAATAATATTTTCTTTATTTAGATAATTAATATTAAACTTATAAATATTTATAAAATTATTAAGAATAAAAAATATATTTCTATTATTTAGATAAATAAAGAAATACGAGATTTCTAATTAATTCTATTTGAATTTATAACTCTAATTTAATATTATAGTTTCTATTCCTAAATCTAGTATTTCTAATTAAAATATAAATAGCTATATTTATAAAAAGAATTACCTAAAATAAACTAAAAAGCTTAGAATTCGAAAGCTTTTAATAGAAAAAATAAAGTATTAAGATATAAAGATCTAGATAATAGTTATTTTATCTTAGTCTCTTAATTCTTAATAATAGATCTCTTAATATAGCTTGGATTTTATAAAATATTAGCTAAGTATTCTATTTATCTAGTTATTTATTTATAATTAGTCTAATATTATATTTCTAGAAATATTAATTATTATTAGTATAAAGGTAATACTAATAATCTAGTTATTATTAAAGCTCTAAATAGCGAATTCTTTCTTAATAAAAAGAATCGAAATATTAGCTATGTTTTTTTTTATAAATTATAAGAAAGTAGCTTTTTTTAATAAAAAAGTTCTTAAAAATATTAATTATTTCTTTATTTTTAATAATTATAATTTGAAAAATATAAAGAAATTAAATAAGTATCTAAATATAAAATACTTAACTAAATAAATAAATGTTTTTAGCTAAATAATTTATAAGTCTAAAATTATAATTAAATAATAATTCTCGAATAAAATAATAATTCTCAAATAACTTAATAATAATCTATTATTTAAAAAGCCTTTAATTATAATTCTAATAAGCCTAGTTATTATTTAGAATAAAATATATAAGAATAGAGTTTCTTATAAAGTTATTAAAACTTTTTACTAAAAGTTTTTTTTTATTAAAAATTAATTTAAGAATATAAAAATAATACGAAATTTTAAAAGGCTATTTATTTAGAATATAATTAGCTATAATAAGCTACTTTAATATCTAGTTATAAAGACTAAGATTAACTAATAATTAAAGGCAAATATTAAATAATAAAAAGAATTATATTATATTTAATATAAGAATATAGTTAAATAGGTTCGAATTACCTTTTAATAAGTTCGAGAATATAAAATAAAACTATTTAAGAATAATAAATTATATTTTTAATATATTAAAAAGAAATTAGAAATACTAATAAAAGAGAATTTTAATTATTTTATTATTTCGAATTCTAAATAAGGATTTTCTATTAGATTTTAGTATTTAGAAAACAAATATAAATAAATAGAAAATCGAATATAATATAATAAGCTATACTTTATTAAAATTACTTTATTTTAATAGTTTCAATATTTTAATTATATAATAAAAGCTAGAGTCTTTTATATATAACTTATAGAAATTATATAAAAAAGCTAGCTTTTTTATAGTTTTAGATAATAATTCCTTTTCTATATTTAATTAATTAAGCTTTTATATACTATATACTATTTATACTTTACTATTTATATCTTTAATTTTATTATTTTATTATTAAATTACGTTTTATATTCTAGTATACTTTATATAAGTTTTTGTTTTATTATAGTTTGTTTCTTATAATACTAACTTTTATAGCTTTAATAAAAGCTTTTTATTTAGTTTATATTTAATATTTTAAAAACTAATATTGCCTTTTATAAATAATTATTAGAAAAGAAAATAAAACTCTTAAAATATTTAACTAGAATATATTTAAACCTTATTAAAGTTATAGCAAGTATTTTATATTTTATTAGAACTAGAATATATCGTTTTTAGATAAGAATATAATTTTAAAAGCTAATAATATTAATTCGAATTATTCTTATTTATATAAGAGTTAGTTAGAGCAAAAATATTACTTATAAATTTACTAGAAATATAAATAATCTTGAGATTTTCTAAGAAATATAAATTAGTATTTCTTTATGATTTATTTTTAATCTAAACTAGCTAGTTATTAAAAATAATATAATTTTTAATAAAGAGAATTAAGTCTAAAAACTTAATTATTTTAGTATTTCTAAAAGAAATATAAGATATAGAAAATCTTAAATAGAAATAAATAAGAAATAATTTGAAATTCTTTAAAAAGAGATTTAAAGTAATTAAAATTACGGGAATAATAAGAATAAATAAAGCAGAAATAATAAAAGCTATTATAAATCAATTTATTATAGCTATATAATATTTAATATCTTTTTTAAATCTAGTATTATAGAACTTAATATTTTCGAAAATGCCTTTATTATAGCTATAAGTGTTTTTATATATAAAGGCCTTTTAAATATTTTTCTAATAGCTTTTTATAATAATATTAATATTTAAGAATAAAATATTAGACTTTCTAGTCTATTTATATAATTCTTTAGTAATAATAGAATTATTAGTTTTTAAAAGCTTTATAATAAAAATAAAGAGTTTTATTTCTATAAGTTTATTTATAAATTCTCTAGAAATATTAATATAATATTTAATTCAAGAAAAACTATTAATAAAATAACCTAAACTAATAAAAGTTAATATAATTCCGGATTATATAGTATTCTATTTTAAAAAATCGATTTATTATACTTTTCCTTTATTATATTTTCTTTAATAATCTTATTACTAGTATATATATAAAGCCTATAAAATTATAAAATAAGACTTAAAAATAATAATTAGGTTATTAGCTTATAAGTACTTATTATTCTAGAACTTAGTTAAAGAATAGCCTTTATATAATATTCTTTAATTCTTAGGGTTTTTGGAAAGGATTTCTAATATATTACTAATATATATTTATAAAAATATAAATATCTAATTTCTTTAAGAATTCTGAAGCTTTTTGCTTTTATTATTCTAAAGCCTATTACTCGTGTTTTTAAGGTTTTATTATCTTAGTAATACTTATATTTCTAATATTTCTAAATTAGTTTATTTGAAATTCTTTATAGAATTAAAGAAAATAAGCTTTAAATACTATTATAAGTATAGTATTTAAGGCTTAGAAAGTAAGATAAAAGATCTTTTATAAAAATAATTTAAAGTTAAAGAAAAGAAAACTAGAATATAAGAAATTATAAGAGAATATATATCCTATAATATACTAGTTTATAAGAGGCTTAGCCTTTAAATATCTCTAGTATATTTCAAGTATACTTCCCAAATAAAGTAGCTATATTATATATAATAAGTATATTTATTTTAAAGTAAATATTATAGTTTTTTATAACTTAATTATTTTATATATAAGAAAAAAGCTAAAAAAAAAAAAAATTTAGTAAAATTTAAGTATAATAGTTATAAATTAATAATAAAATCTTATATATTTTTAATTTTCTTTTCCTTTATTTAATAATATTCAAAAATTAAATACTTTTATAAGAATGTTTGAAAATCGCTATTATTTATTTATAATCTTTTTAATAAATTCAATGAATTAATAAGAATTAAAATTATTACTTTATTTAAAAATCTTAAAAAGCTAAGTGCAATGTGCAGTGTGCAAATGTGCAACATCATGTTTTTCGAGGTCTTGTTAGCACAGTGGTTAGAGGCTGCGGTAAAAATATCAGGGGCTCGCTTAAAAAAATGAGCGCGGGCCAATTGCCAAAACCTACACACGGATTGTGATCAACATATGCACTAAGTTTCATGGTAGGATTGCAACCTAAAGAGATATGTAGGGGGATTTTGCTAGGTCGATGATGTTGAGGACTTTGAAGAGTATGGTCTTGCAGACATTCTAACGGCCCGGTAATTCATTAATGACATGATCAAATCGCTGGAATGGGTAGATCACATGGCCGTTATGCGTACACGACACACGAAGGTACATTGATCATAAAGCATTCCTTGAATGCACCCATAACCAAGGTACATCCGGCCTAGAACTTTGCCGGCGCACCTTTCAATGAATAAGATCCAAAGGTACATTTATCACGAGTGAGATATGGAAAGTTTTGCTGGAAAATTGAGACTTATGCTGAAAGATGTAATTTAATAGAGAGGCCTCTGCAACAAGATAGATATTGTGTAAAAGGAATGAGAACTTTTGTCTCAATCTGTGAGACTGCTCGCCATGAGATAACACCAGTGCTGCCCACCAAGTACTTTGCTTAGCCACACCCTATACTGCTCATCGCGGGCACCAAGTAGACCAACTGCTACTATCACAATGCGATGTATACCCATAGAAGCAGCAACCTCCAGAAGGGTTACACTCAAACGAGTTGACCCCCCACAGGGTGGCACTTCCCTTGCCAGTGACCTGGTCACAGTATCCGCAGTACTGTCCTTGCGCAGAGCCTTTTGCACATGTGCAGCCATTGTTTGTACAAGATCTCTTCTCGAGATGGGCTTCCTCGACGAGAACGCCCCGGTGGCTTTCTGCGGACCCTCCAGCGTCCGCGTCCTTCTTGAGTTTGAGGTCGAACGAAGTGGCTGCATGTTTCTTAGCGAGAAATGGTCAGGGATGGACTGTTGACGTTGCACTTACAAGTGCCTGCCACACCGGCAGATACAGCAGTGAAGAGGTGAATGGCGAAGATGGTGAATTTGATGAACTGCATTGCTGATTGAAGATATGATATGAATTTTTGGAAGTACTTTGCTTTTGGGTGTAGAATTGGGTTTCAATTTTGATAGTAGAGGTCCTCGGAATCAAAGCGTTGCAGGTGCTTCCAAACCCCTATTTATATTTGACTGTTCAGTAAAAATAGAATAAGCTCTCAAGAGACTGCTACAGCATCCACCCAGTCAGCTGTTGTTACCTTCCCTTCTGGCTATTTTGTACAAACTGCATTGTGGAATGTAACGTTGGGGCCTTTCATTTTCTTAGTTACGTAATTCCCCGCACCCGTTGCAACCTCAAGGTGCATCTCGTTCTGAGAATGCGACGGAAACATTGCTCAGGTTCAATATTCTTAAGCACGGCTGCTAGTACCCCCGAGGTAACATGCCACTTTCGTATCGAGTGGCATGCGACTGTCGTGTTTACCAAAATAGTCCAGATGTATGGCTAAGGTTTCTTGCATAGCCTGAATCCTGCTTCTGCGTAATGGCTAGAAATGTTAGACCGGCTAGGCAAAAAGGCCGCAGAAAAAACTCCGGTAAAATACATGAAATAGTAAAAGTAATATGATATAACACCGCTTATATAGGTCACTCAGTATTTCCAACCTAAGACTTGAGGTCGTTTGATAGAACCCAACCTTCTTTAGGACATAGTGCAACTTGAGAAATGGACGATCCCTTTTGCATTCCGATAATTTGATCGTCGGTTTCAGATAGCGGGGAGAGGGCATATCATCGGGTCATCACCTTCCTTGGCAACTCTGGCGATTCCAGCACCTTTTTAAACTTGCGGATGAACATGAAGCCGCTCCATTGTTTCGTTCAGCTGACGAAATATGGCCGGACGTATGAATAACTCTAGTTACCATGGGCACTGGCTATGGAGCAAACTATTGAAGGGCGCCGTTCTCTACCGGTAACTCGCGAGTTGTCTAGTACTTGACCAATTGTATGTTTGGGCTATTTAGTTAGCAGTGAAAGCAAACCAGAGCGCCTGTGAACAGATGTTTACAAAGCAACACCAATCGGGGGGTGCGTAGGCTGGTAAACGGTTCTAAATTCAAGTGAATCGACACCTGGGATCCCTATAACCTAGCCGCGAAAGCCCTAAAGCGAGGGGCTTGTAGCATACGATCGGTAGCTTAAAAGCGAAGGAAGGCATTGTTAAGCGAGATTAGAAGCGGTGGCGCCATAGGGGACATATAGCGCTCCGACGCTAGAAATCCAAGGAATCGATTCTCCACAATACCGAATACCAGGGAGCATGACTGCTTCATGGCGGACTTGGGCAATTGGAGATAAGTGTGGTTTGCCATTGGTGAGGTTTAGGTTGGCCGGGCGGATTGAAGGCCGAGTCAAGGATAAGTTGAGCTGCAGTACGTCCCACAAGTCAAAAAGCGAACATAGATCCAAAAATAATTCTAGTGGAATCTCGGTTGTAAGGGAGCCAAAATTAGATCTGTGCTTGGAGATAGGAGGAAAATGTGATCGGGCATCAGGAGAGCCATAACGAGCCCCTTCGGGTGCTGAAATAACCCCGCAATACATGCTTAGGCTGACTCTGTCGTTGACTCCGGCTGCACCGGCCAAGGTCAGGAATGCTCGCCCCCGGCTCGGGTTAAAGAGCAGCTGCTCACATCCGGAGACTAAAATGGAACCAGTGAAGAAAGAAAGTTGAGAAAGAAAGTTGAGTCTGACTTATATAGCTGTCTTACGTACATGTTAATGCTTCTTGTAGCGAGGTACGAGCGAAAGAAGCAATCCTCTCTCACAAGGCAACAAGGACAAAAAAACGCTACGTTGTGGGCGAAATCCAAGTCTGGGCAAAATCTTGGCAAAGAAGATCCTAAATCGAATAAAGCTACGTTTTAGGTTACTTATGTGAGACAAGGCAATACTTACTATAGGTAAGAGGAGGGGCAGGGGGGGCTTCTTGAGTTGCGTCGGATTTAAATGGTCTTGTAATTAAAGAGAAGAAGAGAACAAGAGAAGTTGCAATAGTTGCAATTTAGTATAAGTAATACTCTTAATAAGAAACCTAATTTAATAATATTTAATATTTATAAGTATTTTATTATATATATATTAATTATAAACTTATTAATTATTTTATATATATATAATAAAACATTAAAAAGAAATTAGTTTTTATATTAAAAATAACTAAATTATTAGTTTAATATTATTATATTAAATAAGAACTAATTAAAAAATAATATAAGAGTTTATAAAAGGCTTTCTTATTTAAATATTTAAATATTATATTTTAATTACCTAATATTAGTTAAATTCTATATAATTAGTAATATAATATATAAATAAATTTAAAAAATAACTTGAAAAATAGGCTTATTTAAAAGTTATAAAAAGTTATAATTATATATTAAAATAATTTTATTATTTATATTATATTATATTATAAGAAAGAATTAAATAATTAAAAAGCTTAATAATATTATTATTATTATTATAATAGCTTTAAATATATATTTAAAAACTATTTAAAGTTCAAAATAAATATAATTCTAGTAATTAAGCTAATAATAGTTTTTATAAATAAATAAAGATATAAAATATAAAGATAATAATTTTTAAACTAAGTCTTTTTTAAAATTATAATATATAAATATAATAAGAATTAATATAAATTAATTATTAAAAAAATAATATATTTATATTTTCTTATATAAATAATAATAATAATAAAATAAGTAATTATATTTATTAATTTATTAGTAATATATAATACTATTATATAATTATAAAATATTATTTATATAAATTAGTAAAGTAATTAATATTTGAAAGTAAGAATTATAATATTTTAATATTAATATATAATTCCTAAATTTGCTAAGCTTAATAGAAACTAATCTACTAATTAAATTATTTATAAAATACGAGATTATATAATTATATCTTGTATTTTATTATTTATTATTTATTATTTATTAAGAAATAGCTTTCTGAGAGAGAGCTTTTTAGGAAATAGTTCTTTAGGAAATAAATAGAAAGTAAGCTTTAATATTTATAAATTACGAGAAAAAGAAAGCCTTATAATTATAGGCTATAAGTACTAAAAATTTAATACTTAATAAGAAGTAATAATTATTTAATAATTAATTACTAATTAATTACTTAGTAATTATTATTAAATCTATAGGCTATAACTTTAAATAACTATTTAAATAAGCTATTATATTACTAAAAATAGAATAATACCTTATATTAGTCTTATAATAATAAATAAGACTTTTATAAGGCTATTAGTAATTAAATAAATAGTTATTTAGTTATATTATATAAGTATAGCCTTAATAACTAGCCTCTATATAAACTTTTATTATTCTGAGCTCGGGATAATCTCATTTACTATTTAGTTCTTTAGCCTCTAAAGTACTAGCCTAGTATTAAAACTAGAGAAGTCGAGAGGTTATTAATCTAACTTAATATATTTAGGCAAGGATCTATTATAACTAGTTATTTATAGTAACTAGTTATTAACTAGTAACTAGTAATTACTTATTACTTTTATATATAATAAGAGGATTTTCGTTTTTAGTTATCTAAGCTAATTTATATACTACTAATAATTAACTAGTGCCTCTATATTAGTAGGTATTATAAAGTTTCTACTAGCTATATTGTGGGAGGGAAACTGCGATAAGACAAAAACCCACATAAAGTATACCAGAGCGCAAAACGTGACTTGATAGTAAAATAACAAATCAAAAGCGTAAATAGTAAAGCATAAACAGTATGCAGTATACAAAAGCTCAATTAATTAAATACTCATGAAGGATTGTTCTCTAAGTCTACAGAAAAACCAGCTTTCTTTTGTGATTTCCGCAAGTCACGTGCAAAAGGCCGCGGCCTTTGCCATGTGACCTAAACCTCAAAACCGCCAAAACAACATGATTTTCGACGAGTACGGCCTGCCGTACCACAATATCCGCTGGCTTTATAGTTCGTAAGGCTTCCGTTCTTGGCAAGTATTATAAAGGCTTTACAGGCCCCGTCTACTAGCCTTATAGTTTATAAGGGCTTTCATTTATTTATTAGTATTACTATATATAAGGGCTTTCTTTCTTTACTCGCTCGTTTAAATAATAATGGCTAGATAGAGGCTAAAAGCCTCTATCTCATTCCTTTATAAAGAATTTCCCGGATTTTAAAAGAGAATAAATTCTAATATTACGGGCCAGACTTTTAATATAAAAAAGACTAGTAGTTCTTGATATAGGGAGAATTTATTAAGGAAAGAAGCTAAAAGCAAGCCCTAATTTCTAGGAAATAAAGGAATATTATTATATAAGAATAAGCTTATAAGATCTAGTATAAGTATCCTATATTAAGTATAAAAACCGGGTCTTAACCCGCTATAATTCTTACCTTTAATAGTAAAGACAATATACTAGTATTTATATATTAAGACCTATACTAAACCTTATATTCTTTAGGATTTAGTATAGGTCTTAATATAGATTTATTAGGCTCAGTATTTTAAATTAAGCCTACTAAAAATTAGAGATATAAAAGAATTTAATAGAATATAGTTTGGATATTTTATTATTCTAGTCTTTAATATATTCTTTTCTATTAAAATAATACGAGATCTTAAACTTATAAATTATAAAAGGAAATTAAATCTTACTTTTAAAAGTATTAAATTATAGTAATATTTTTATTTTATATATAATATATTATTCTAATTACTTTACTTAGCCTTATAAGAGCTACTATAATAATCTCGGAATTATATAAACTAGTTACTAAAGCTATAATAAGTTATATTCATATTTCTTTATAATATTATTCTAATTATTATTATTCTAATTATTATTATTCTAATTATTATTATTCTAATTATTATTATTCTAATTATTATTATTCTAATTATTATTATTCTAATTATTATTATTCTAATTATATTTATAATAATTATATTTATAATAATTATATTTATAATAATTATATTTATAATAATTTCTTTTATATATATTAAATAAATATATATAAATAAGTAAAGTCTTAATTAATTTCTTATAAAATAAAAGATAAATAGAATTTATCTTA